GAATCGAATCGATTCTAGAAATCAGTGACGATACCCAGCCCTAGTGTGCATCAGAAGTTAGTGAGGATGGTCTCTGCCTCTGCAGCTACTACCCTACCCTTGAGAAAAAAACAGGCCCTTACTGATATATACTGAGGTGTCGAAAGTCATCATTAAGGGGACTGGGGAAGTAATGAGATGCTACTTTTATAGGGTAATAACTTAAGCACCACACATTGCCACACATTCAAATGAAAGATTATGATCAAGAGACAAAGGTTTTAATAGGAAACAATAAAAACAAGCTTACTTATTAAAAACTCAAAGGAGAGAAAAATGACCGCTTAAGACTAGGCTTTACTTTTAAATGATTTATTGTGTTTAATTTGCCATATTTATTTTGGCAATCCTCCTTAAGCTTCGTCCAAGAGAATGAAGATTAACGAGAAATGTTAATGTCGGATGGATTCCAGAGTGAGAGGGGAAGAAGGAGGTGTGGGAGGGGAGTACGGGAGGGGAGGTGAGAAGTGCGAGTTGCTCATTTCAAAATGCGTGGGTGACAAAGAGAGAGTGAAAATGACAGAGCAGCACAAAGACAGCTGTTAATGCTCAGAAAGGAAGAAGAATCAAAGGAAATGATAACTTTTTAATGCTTTTTGATGGACCAGAATTAGAAGAATGGAATCATTTAGATTTCTCACACAACACAGCCTTCACGATCACAGCTTTTGTGATTAATTTTTCACAAGCCTTTTATTCTTTTTACTATTTTCTGTGTGATTTACAAAACCATAAATGTGATAATATTAATCCTAATCCTGATTAGAATGCATGCTAAATGCTGAATTTTACACCGATGCCATTTCCTGTCAACAGTCTCCTCCAGATGCCCTCCTCAGGAGCCCATCGGCTGAGCAGCGTCTCCTCCCATGACTCGGGCTTTGTCTCCCAAGACGCCAACACCCATTCAAAGCCTCCATCACCCATGCCCTCTGATATCACAAGCCAGGTAGCAGTCTCAGCTATGATATTTAATTTTTTTTATTTTATCAGGAGGGAAAATGTTTTGGTTTTTTTGTTGCAGCAAAATCAGGAATAAAGCAGACTTGATATCTCCAGAGATTCCTCTGGCAGTAAAACATCAGGACAGGAGGACACGGCAACGACACCACTTTCTTGTCAATGCAGATCTACAATAATTCTCTCTTTTTAACCACAATCACACTCCGTCTGCTGTGTCTGAATTGAAAACCATAGAGTTTTTCCATGGTTTTGTATTTCACACATGAAGCCACCATAAGAGTTTGAGCTCATTTTTTTGCAATAGATCTCTATCAGTTGCAAATGTTGAATTTTTATCTCTCTGGACTGATAAAGTTGTTCAGACTCTCACAGTCTGCACAGATTACAGTGTAGAGAACACACTCAGCAACACACCAACTGATGCAATGTTCTTTTTCTGAATAAATGATCTTACAGGCTACTTTATTTTCAATCTAGGCTATAGGATATAGATCCCCTCAGAGAAAAAAAAAATCCCTCCTTCTAAAGCTCATCAACACTCTTCTCCAGCGCTCACCATCTTCCTATGCATCTCTCACATCTAACTTTTTCCTCTCCATCTCCACTGTTCTTTACTCCATCTTTCCTTTCCCAGAAATCAACAAGCTCAGCCTCCTCTGAGGCTTCAGAAACCTGCCAGTCTGTCAGCGAGTGCAACTCTCCTACAGCGGTTAGTACTGCATGCATCTCTTACCAGCGTACTTGCTTTGCTGGACGCGCACACACACGCGCCGATGTGCTGTGCATTTCAATCATTTTTATCTATAGCTTAAAGAGGCCCGTGAGCCGTTAATGACAGCCGCTGTGAGGTATAACGTGGTATAACGCCGATGTTGAGCACTCTTACTCAGACCTGTCTGTCCATTCCGCAGTTTGGCTCATGCTCATCCTTCGGCACCTTCCGCCCTGCTTTCTCACACACTGGCACCATCAGGCCTCTATCTGTCATACTTCCTGCGTCCCCCACATTTAACCACTCCCCTGGATCCAACACTCCCTCACCCACATCAAAGGTTCCTAGCTGGAAGGTTTGTTTTCATTTGCAAATTTTCCTTTGGGTTCTCTCTTTTGAGACTTTGTTGCTTCTTTGCTTCTTGTGTTTTGTTGCCTTCACAGATTTCGCATTCCGTAGAATAACCTCACAATCATTGTTTTGCAGTTTGCTGTTTTCCAATGTTTCCACCAAAAAGTTGTGCTAAACTGCACGCCCTGCCGTGCTCTATTCATATCTACCATGCATCTAACCAGTTTATAAGCCAAATCAACAGCTCCCGTGTTTAACTGCACAACTTCCAGCGAAACACTGGAGATGCACAGTTGGAAGACGGTCTCATTATTCAGTCTGCTGTTGCAGGACTGGGCCAAATCGAGTTCCTGCGAACCGCCGTTGGCCAGCACCCCACAGCGTAGGAGGGAGTCTGTGGATAAGATGAGAGAACTGGAGGCTCCGCCCAGTCCACAGGGGTATTCTGGAATGCAAGCTGATGAGCCACACAGGGTGAGAAGTGGCCCAGGAACCATCGCAGCCAAGGTAAAAAGGAGTGAAAAAATAGATGCCAGTATATCAATTTGTATGCTGTAGGGATTGCAGTGTGATGAAAATGTAAATGTGTCCTGATCTTTATGTATTTCCTGCCTGTCTGTATCTCTGTATATGTGTGTTAAGCATGGCGAGCCGCTCTCTCCAGCAGCCAGTACTCTAGCCATGGTTCTAACCAGGGGCTTGAGCATGGAGCAGCAAAAGAGCAGCAGAGACTCTCTGCAGTACTCCAGTGGCTATAGCACCCAGACCAACACCCCCTCCTGCTCCGAGGACACCATACCCAGTCAAGGTAACAGTCATCCCTGAAGAGCCACGCACTCCTGCCTGATTAAACACACATGATATCCACATACAGCACACTATTCATGAATTTAACTGTTGTGTTTCAATCATTGCACGTGTGTGATTTGAATAGTGCCGTACGTGTTGCCTTAAACTCCAGTTTGATTACTGTGAATTGCTCTGTAATGAAGCACCTGCTAATTAACCCTTCAAGACAACTGCTCTATGAACTATTGAATATTCAGTGTGGGGGGAAAAATGGATTCTCATGACTTGCTGTGATTTCTAGGTTCTGATTATGAGTGCTACTCTCTTAATGGAGATGCTGACAGCGAAGGGCAGGTGGACTTTGACAAATCCTCCACCATCCCTCGTCATAGTAACATTGCACAGAGCTACCGCCGCATGATCCAAACTAAGAGACCTGCGAGTACAGCGGGTCTGCCTGCAGGTAAGGCTG